TATTTAAATTTCTTTCTACCCGACAGCGAAAATTATAAAAAAAAAATTGTCGAGCAAAATTTTACATTACCAAATTTTTACTGGTTATGAAAAAATAACCCCGTGATTGATAAAATTAAAAAAAAGTAGCCTGAGATTCGAACCGGTAAACTTACATATTACGGCAAACATACTAGAATACTGCGCCAATCTAGTATTATATATATTGTGACAAGGCAAAATTTGATATTAGTTAATACGTATCTGTCATATTCGGCGTGACAAACTTTTATATTTAAGCGTTATGACAGGAGAAGAAAAATATTGGGTTGCCCAGTAAGTTCGTGCCGCTTTATAAGGAAAATTGAAACCCTGTTCTCTTAAATTTTTGGAAATGTTTTTAAATTATATTGGTACGACTCTATACCTAAAACGTCTTTTATTATTGGATAAAATTTTAAAAATTAGTTTTTATCTCAACCAATGAAATGAAATTATTCACAATATAGAAATTTTTGTGACGTTTGATAATGGTGGAAATCCGAAAATGAATCCACTTCAGCTACAGTCAGTAAATCAGAACGAACTTTCCGGACAACCTATAATGTTAATACAAAGTGTCAAATGAATGTAACAGAAGTAGTTTATTTCAAATTGTATCACAAGTATAAAGAGATAGAGTTTAATTTTGTCAAATGTACCGATATTTTTGCGCACCTTGACTGCTTCGTTACTTATGACGCTGTGGCTGCTACGATATTTATGAGCATCTTGCATGTACTCATATATTTGACGCTGTGTATGTACCGATGTATTTGAGCAGGGTGAATGTATCTATCATTTTGAGGACTTTTGTTGTACCGATATAATTGAATACTTTTGGTGTACCTATATATTTGCATATCTTGTCTGTGACGATCTATATGACGCTGACTGTACATAATGGTAATCATTTTGTAATATTTATGCATTTTATTTTAAGTTAAATATCTATATTACCTTTTTTACCTTCCCGCCCTATTCTTATAAGAACAGTGTGGGATTGATGAGAGGAAAATATTCTCTTCCTGTACATACTCCTCTTTGAGATTTAGAGATTTAGATGCATATGCAATTGTAGCTCAGCAAAACTTAATAAGTATGTGCCTAAGTGATCTTCCAGATTATGTTCTACATGTGTGCCAAATTTCATCAAGATTGGTTGAGCTGTTCCATTGATAGCTTCTAACATCCATCCATCTAAACTTTTGCATTTATAATATTAGTAAGATTACAATGTTAATAAGATGTGTATTCCAGATGGTATGGCTACGAGAAGGACCACAACATCCTTGTGATGGATCTGCTGGGGCCTTCCCTCGAGGACCTCTTCAATTTCTGCTCGCGACAGTTCACCATCAAGACTGTTCTTATGTTAGCCGGTCAGTATCATTTCTTTGTTTAAAATGTCATTTAGTCACAGTAATTTGTATTTGATATGAAGTATATCATCATCAGGTCATCCCAGATTGATTTGTACAGACCAGTTTGATGAAATACTCAAAAAGAATGGTATAAGGAATACCAGAAATATATGTGCATGTATGTGTAGATGCATGTATGTAGAAGTGAGAAAGGTGTGTCAGGACTGCTAAATGTAGGTCCATGGTGTCTACCTGCCCCTGTAGGTTACGTGCGTGAGTTATGTTGTAGGAAGATACTAATTATACTGTCTTTAAAATAAATCTTGATATCTTTAGGTAAAGTTAATAATTGGTTTATTTTGATTTTATACTTTTAACAATGGTTGAAATGTCTTCAAAAATAAAAGCAGTCTTTAACCTTGTTTCTGTTTGTATTTTGTGCAACAATTTGGATTATTAAGGTAATTAATAAAATATATTATTTAGCCTAAACTTCTGTTCTTAATACACTGTTGTTCATGATTCATTCTTAATGACAGTGCTTTTCTCTGTTACAAATATATAGAACATAATTATGATTAGTTTAAACATCAAAGAGACCCATTGAAATGTTTAACAAATTAAATTTAAGAAAAAAATGGGACCCAACCTGCAAGCAAAACCGACAAAAAAAAAATCAAAATCGGAGCATCAGGGGCGGAGTTACGCGGGTAACTCACATAAAAAGAAAAGAACATACAGACGAATTGATAACCTTCATTTCATTCAGACTAAAGTTTTGTTGGACATAACTATTAAGTTGATTCATCCATATATAGTTTATAACCCATGGATTATTCTTTACAAGAGATTAATGTCCCCCTAACACAGTGGTTCCCAAACTTATTTTGTCTACTACCCACTTTGAGAATAAATATTTTTTTAGTGCCCCCATATTTTCACATATTTAAAAACCACTTAAACTTCAAATTAAATTAATTAATTGTTGTGACCTATATATGTATATTAATGGAGAATTCTAAAGGAAACTTTTACTATAACCCGCAACTGCCCTAACACATTACTTTCATTGGTGGTTTAAAGTGGTAACATATTTTAGATCAAATGCTGGGTCGTGTGGAGTTTATCCACTGCAAGTGCTTTATCCACCGTGATATAAAGCCAGACAACTTCCTGATGGGCATCGGCCGGCACTGCAACAAACTTTACATGATTGACTTTGGCCTTGCTAAGAAGTTCCGCGACCTGCGCACCCGCGCCCACATATCCTATCGCGAGGATAAGAATTTGACTGGTGAGTACATAACATTGTTATATTTATATAAGTATTTATTTATTAAAACTCTATATAACCCACTGTATGACACTCCGGGGAAGTTGAATGACACTTTCTTTGAAGCTCTTGGCTGTGGCAATGGAGTTGGCTTGCATATGAAAATATTTATAATTGTAACAAAATAGTACAGGATGTTACTTGTGCCCGGACTTCCCGTTAAACGTCTTTTAAGGTCATGTGATTGATTTACAATTGCATATAAACATAATCACCCATTTTCTCATCACCTCATTGGGGTCAAAATATATTATTATCTTCTACCCGCACATATCCATAAAGAAATTCAAAGATATTTGTAAAGTCAAGCCGCACTGTGCCAGCATGCTTGACTGCTAGTCACCCCAAAATTTTAATTTTGAGGTGACTAGTATGCTTTGAGCTCATCGGTGGGCTCATATAATTAGCCGTCGACAAACTTTGTAAACAAATTGGATAATCTTATAAACGCTGTCAAATAAAAGGGGTAAATTGTGTCAACAAAAGAGACAGTTTCAAATACTGACCCTTATAAATGGATAGGCGATTGCTTGGAAATTACAGTTTTTGTGCCTGTTGATGTTACGTGACAGTTTTCTATCTATATTATTAGTTCGAATTCACACCACCGCTACAACTATAACCACCAAAATGGTAAAAATCAAATAGGCACAAAAAACTAAGTCTAATAGCCTGTCCATTTATTAAGGTTATATGTACAAAGAACAATTTTGTCAGGTACGGCACGTTACGCGTCCATCAATGCGCACCTCGGCATCGAGCAATCGCGGCGAGACGACATGGAGTCACTCGGATATGTACTTATGTACTTCAATAGGTATGTTTCTATTTATTTATATTTACTAGCTGTCGCCAGTGTCTCCGTCCGCGTGAGGATTAAAAAATATATTAGTAGCCTGTGTTCTTTCAGACTGTTCTATGCCAAATTTCAGCGAGATCCATGCAGCCGTTTTGGAGATACATTCTAACAAACATCCATTCATCTTAACATGATCATTTATAATATTTGTAAGGTAACTGCCTCACTAAAAAGCTTCAACAAAATTACTATAAATATTATTCAAGCTATCCAAATAGTTAAAGAACACTTATTTTGACTTTTTTGAGCATTCTAAAAAATAAATTGAATACAATATAAACATAATACGTTATTTTTGAATATAACACGCGTTTGTCTTTGATTAACAAAAAAAAAAACTTTATCGCGACCTGTTGGGTATAGTGACGTTTTTTTATTGGACAAAACCAGTTGCTACGTCACGTCTGTCGCTTAGTGACCGTTCACGGAAATTGTGAGTCACACGCACATTCATGGTTTTTTTATTGATTTAAACAATCTTAGTGTCCATTTATTACATTTTTAATAAATTTTATCAGCTACTACCGCGGACTTTATGCCAAAATAAAACATTTGCGTAATATAGTGTTTCTTTATTAAAAATAAATAAATTGTGGGTAGTAGAAACTTATTGTAAACAATTTTGATGATAAAGCTTCGAATTTGGAAAAAAAATATATTTTCTGATAAAATAACACCCTGTACATAAAATTGGATTTTTTTTAATACTATTAAATTTAAATTTTTGTCAACGGTCAAAAAATACACATGATATAGCGCCCCGTGATATTTCGTGATTTTTTTTGGAACCCCTCCCCTCTTTTCAGTCTCATTTGATTAGTGGACGACACTAAGTAACAATTAAATGATGAATTATGAACATTGATTCAAATTTAAATAGATTTGTCATACAAAATCTACACTAAGGTGCTCCCTAAGTGGTTTTTACCGCGACCGTTGGTTTCATAACCAACTATCATCTACCTACCTTTATCCCTATTGAGGGTTGGCACATATGTACTACTCTTCCATACATCTTTATCAGCCGTCATATCTAAATCTACCCACATCCTACGCATATGCTCTTTCACTCGATGCTTTCTGAGAACAAAATCTTTAAAACATATCGTAATCTCTGTCTTATTTGACAAAACAGAGATGATATATTTTAATCGGGGACTAGTCTCAGAAACCCACAGTGCAGTAGTAAGCGCTTAGTATTGGTCCTACCTCACATAGCGAATGCTTTGTGTCGACGTATGACGTATGAAGCGAGTTGAGACGGATTTCTTTGACCTACACACGAAAAACTGACCGACATACTTACACAATACGTTTTTATACGTTTCTTTCTAACCGTCTTGTATAATTTGATGATAGTTTTGTGAAATTTAACCTTTATGTATCGTGGTTTAAAGTTTAAATTTACTTGATGTTGGATTGAAGGTCGATTTTAGTTTGACGTTCAAAGTTACCGTTAGACATTGTATGAGATTCTTTTTATGTATGTATAGGTAGAAATAGTGTTAAATATTTTTTATTTATTATGAATTTTTTTGTTAGTTATCCATTCAAATAAAAAAAATTGCTTCCAAAAATAGCTTAACTTTTATTCACATTTTAACTATCAGATATTAAAAAATGTCTCTCCTTTACATTATCTCAAAGTAATATAGGTATTAATATTATTTATCTTACTAATATTATAAATACGAAATTTTAGATGGATGGATGGATGTTTAGTACAAAGTATCTTCGGAAAAGGATCTTGATGCAATTTGGCATATATGTAGAACATACTCTGAACGAACACATAGGCTACTTATAAAGGTTTTTTAAGCCGCGCAGACGTAGTCACGGGCGATAGCTAGTATATTTAGTAGATAAAAGTCGTATCAAGCCGTTAGTAAAAAACAATAATAAATCGGTGGTTAAAAATTATAAAAACAGCACAACACAAAACTATATCTTATCTGTTGTATATCTGACCGACTTTCTAAATTGGCAATGTACAGATTTATGCATAATAGGTTTATATAATAATGCTTTGGTGAACTGTTATAAAACTCTAAGAGTACTGTTGCTAGGCAGTTCCTAGTATGTATGTTTTAACCTTTGGTAAACCGTTTAATTTATATAGCGTATATTTTTAACTGTAAATCGCATCAGAACTTATAAACGAAAAAGATTCGTAAGAATGGAGTAGGTTCAGATATGACGCCTGTTGGAGATGTATGGAGTAATACATACTGTGCCAACCCTCCGTAGACATAAGGGCAGGTTGATGATTCGTCTCTTCGATGTCGACAAAGTTGTGTTTTCTGTATTAGCAATATTTCAATTTTTTTTTCTATATTCCGTATGTTATAAGACTTATTATGTATTGTGTTAGTCAAGAAACGTGTTATTTTTTCTTTGGTTTTTAATAACCTTTGCAAATTATTGTATTCTGTTAATAAGCAGTTTTTATTGTAATGTTTCAGGGGCTCTTTGCCATGGCAGGGACTGAAAGCTATAACAAAGAAGCAGAAATACGAAAGAATTAGCGAGAAGAAGATGTCAACGCCCGTTGAAGTGCTCTGCAAGGTAAGTATTGTCTAACATATACAAAACTGATCATTTATTATATTTAAAATACTAGTAAATAAAAACAAAAACTGAATTAGGAGACATAAAAAAAATCGTTGCAAAGTTTAGAGTTATTGTATTAAGAAACAACATTTAATTTATTTCGTGGGAATTATTTTTTTATGCCAAATTTCATTTGTGTTTGTCCTTTGTGGGTATTTTCTATGTTCAAAATTAATATTTTGTCATTTTCATGTGTTTGATCTTATATGTTTTGATTAATTTAGTATGTATTTGTCGTGGACAGGGCTTCCCGGCCGAGTTTGCGATGTATTTAAATTACTGCCGCGGGCTCACATTCGACGAGGCGCCTGACTACATGTATCTTAGACAGGTAATTAACGTTTAATACTTACTAAATACTTGGAAAATTTTGTAATGGATCATCATCATCAGCTCACTATACGTCCCCTAAGTTAAGGGTGATTAGGCCATAGTCAACCACGCTGGCCAAGTGCGGGTTGGTTGACTTCACACATATCTTTGAATTTCTTCTCAGATATGTGCAGGTTGCATCACGATGTTACGACGATGTAATGGATCATATATAGATATTAATAAGTTTTCCATAACTGAATGATTATGTAAAATTGTGTAAAAATGAATTCAAATACAATGGCTGTAAGAGATAAACGAAAGTAGTACTTAGGACAATTATGATTTCTATACTGAAGAGTAATTAAGTGTAAAATAATTGTTTCACAGATGGATTGATGAATATGACATTGAAGTATTGTTTGTTTGTTTGTATGTCAGCTGTTCCGCATCCTGTTCCGCACGATGAACTACCAGTACGACTACACGTTCGACTGGACCATCCTGCGGCAGCGCAAGCAGACCATGGAGGCGGGCGCCGCCGCCGCCGACCGTCGCTCGCCCTCCGTGCAGCGCCGCGCGCAGCAGCCGCCGCAGCCGCCGCCCAACAACGAGGTACTGCACCCGCCTCACACGTCGCCTCACACCGCCTCGCAACACCTCACACCACCTCACACCACCGCACATCGCCTCATGCCGAACCGCAACACCTCACCCGTTACATGACCTCACACCTCACATGACCTCACACCTTACATGACCTCACAAGTCCTCTTATCTTACACTTAATTTGACCACACGCCTCTGCCAACCTCGCACTGGCATAATAATTTGCATAAACTTACGTAGCCTCAGAACTGAGTTGACCTGACCTCACATCTGACTGTTGGAGTTTTAGGTATAAAGTTAATTTTGTTACAGATCTAGACCACATATTAAATATTACTTGACCGCAATATTGAAACGACTTAACCTCGCACTTAGTCCTTACACGTATTCAAAATCTACCTGGATTTATAATCATTTCATGCGCTATCTACTAACAATACTTGTCTACATTTAATCCCATTTTAATCTCCCTTGTCCCTTGTCGTGCTTTCAGTCAGTTTTCCTATCTCTTAGTCATTCTGTTTCATTCACTTATACACCAACAAGGATATCTGTTCCGGTGGGCATGAGTCGAAACTAAATTTTGTCAGCTCACTAGCGCCCCTCTGAAAAAGTGTCACAAAATCATTTAAATTTTTCTCTTTTATGTCTAAGCAGGTTTTATATACATTCAGATAGGAATAACCGCGATAGTAGCGCCCCTCACCTGTACAGATATCCTTGTTTTTACTAAGTGTAGATTTCCGTCAAATTGAAGCTTTCTTCTTAGGTGAAGTCGGCGCATGCGACCGCCGACTCCGCAGCTAACAAACAGACAGTGAAGGGCCACCAGTCCGTCAGCCAAATGAAGAAGAAACTAACCGCCATCTCCTAACCTAACCCATACATACACCGTACATACATACTAAAATATTTTGTTCTCATATTGAACAATATCTAATTTATAATAAGTCAAAATTTGACGGGAAATCACATGTTGTGTGGGAGATACCAAATTATCAGTATTTTTAGGCAAAATTTGATTTTTTTATCTTGTTAATTTAGTAATGTTTGGTATTGTTAGATTTGTGGCTGAGATATGGGTTGAAATTTTTTTTTCTATATAATAAGGGCTTTTAAAAGTTTCTTCTTGTAGTTTTTATATGGAATATAAATGTCGTAGTTAAATTGTTTAGTAGGGCGGAGATGATATTGTCCAACTCGCATGAAACTGACGATAACAATTTTGTCCACTAATAATATAATGTGATGTTTTATTACTTTTTTTATATTGATAATGTAAAAAGTCAAAGCAAAAGAAACTTTATTATATATAATTCTCAATCCATTGAGTGCTTAAAAGAATAGTATATTAATATTAAACATGAATTATTTTCAAACTTTGTTTTTTTTTTAATTCATAAACTATTTACGTTTAATGAAAATTAAACATTGATTTTTCCAAAATGTAAGGAACTGATTGTATATTCTCGTTACATAATGTTTAGTAGTTAATTTAGTAAAACCATGTACATAAAAATCTTAATTTTTAATTTGATAAAATATTTAGTAGTCAGTAATTTTGATGACGTCATCTCTTGTCATTGGTCGAATTTTATCAAAAGCGTTTATCATCTATACAATATTAGTGTATTTAAATATTTTTAAAACCACAGTATCATATCATATTATCACTAAATTAACTTTAACCAAACATAATTCATACATCTCATTAAGTTTTCTCACTTAATTTCAGTATTAATAGCATGTCTTCATAAAACATAGTCGTTATGTGTGCAAAGAGATTTACTTAGAGAATATTTAGCATGAGAAATTTATACTGTAGACCTACAAATTTATCTGGTCCGATGGACATAAGTCAAACTAATGATAGCTCACTAGCGCCCCGCTGTCGATTTCAAAATGTCAAGATTCTTATATTGTAGCTGTCATGTCTTTTTTTCTTTTGGCTTTTCTTATGTCTAAGAAGGTTTTATATATTTTTTGACAAATAATCGTCTTACCGGGCAAGCTAACGCATTTAAATTTGTTAATTGGTTACAAACTATTAGTGTACTTTTCTCATACTAAATAAACACTAAGTAAGACTTAAGTTCTGTAGTGACATAGGTGAAATAATTAATGTGATATTTTTTTTAATTTTCAGTGAAAACGAGTGAGGCGTTCGGCGGCTACAAGCGGTCCGGCGAGAAAGAGAACGCGATAGCATCCGAGTGCGCCCCGATTTGTGTGTGTGTTTGTGTGTGTGTCGCCGGCCCCGCTTGCTGCACGCCGGCGCTGTAATATGCGTCGATGAACCACTTTAAGCCAAAAATAAACCGTTATTTAGAAAAACTCAAACCCGAAAAGTCTGATTTTCAAGGACTCAACTCTGGAAAGTCTGACTTTTAACGACTCTATTCTAGAAAGTGTGACTTTCAAGGGCTCAACTCTAAAAAGTTTAACTTTCATAGGACCGATAGAAAGTTGTGACTCGAAATCATTTTTTAAGTTGACTCTATAGGGATCAACTCGGACAGCTATGCCAAGATTGGTCGTAGGTTTTGGACGGTTTTGTGATTTTGTTTTGTATGGATCATATAATTTGGTTCTTTGAAGTTTTGTTTATGAGAACTTGCAAGAAATGGTTGACCATTTAATTTGTAACAAAGGTTTTCTAAACGGTTAGTCAGTTTTAGGAAGTTATTGTGATTTGGTGGATTATGGTCTATACAAAATAAAATACAATTTCAATACTCATGTTGTATGGAGATAAAATTTTTTTTTTTAAATATGGTTTTTATTTTTGGCTTAATTTGGTTCAGTGCAGTAATTGCAATATGCAGGCGTCGAACGCTAAAATGACGTATAACCTTTTTCTAACAGAGGCCTTTTTAATTTAACGATCTAAAAATTATATTAAATAATTTTATAATTAGATAAAAAAAAAATGAAATTTAATTTGCTAATTCTGTGTACTCCTACACAATGTAAAAGGTTTTTTTTTTAATTAGATTTTTTTGAAGTGTGCGTCGATGGACTGCTATAAAATATAAGTATATATAGAGAATATATAATAAAACCGTTGTCAAATTTATGTAAGTGGAAGGACAAATAAATTCGTTCTCTTAGTTAATGTAGTAACCCTTTGAAGTAACTTAGTTTTTTCTTTTAATTATTAATTCGATGTTAGTTTTCCTAATTTGCTAGTGTTACAAAAACTCTTTATTAATTAGTAGGTATTGTAGACGGTAATGTTTCAATTTGGCATGTTGCTAAATGAAAGTTAAACATAACCGTTTTTTAGAAGCGAATTATTGGCTAAAAGTAATTAAATATGTTCATTAAAATTATCGATTAACTAATAAATAGGTTTCTGTAATGCGATGATGAAAAAAAAATGGAAAAACTAAAAAAAAATTAGTCTTAAGCAACCAGATTTGCTGCCGATTGGCAGATTACAAAATGTTTTCGGCCGATCGACTAAATTGTACATAGACTAGGCCGATTGGTTAGCGATCTGGTTACATTTTTTGTATTTACGTTTATTTTGATGTTTTAAAAAGGCAAATTGTAAATATGAGACAGTGTCCACATCAGTGTTTAATTTTTTTCTCTAAGGAACACATAGTTTTAAGGTGAATCACGGCACCCGTCTTCTACCCTTCCAATACCCTTCCCCTTCCCTTCCCTGCACGATCGACAATTAGCGATATTTTTGTATGAACGATACAGTAAGTACGAATTACATCGCCTATATTTAAGACGGGTGTCGCGAATTAAATTTAAAATAACTGTGTGATTGTTTGATGAATGAAAAGGGGACAAGGATTTGTTATGACCAAAATACTCTGCACTGTTAAGTGGTCCCCTTAGTTTAGATTTATCAAAATCTAATCTAAGAACCTCCCTTAAAAACTAACTCTTAGTGGCAGTTTTTTTATTTGGAAATTGTCTTATCCCCAATCAACTTAGGTAACCGGCCTAACTCAATAAAATGGAAGTATTGTTTTGTGGTGAAGAAATTATTTTTTTTATTTACCTTTTCAGTAAATTTTTATTAAAATCGTTTAAATAAAATATTCTCTGATTGATATGAAGGTCCAATTAAATTAATTACGGATGTATTTTCGCGCCAATTAGAAGTATTGAGCAAACATACCTTTGAACAGGACTTAAATACATGTCAATGCAATAAAAATGTTACTCAATACAGTTTTCACTTATATTTTGTATGATTTTGATGGTTTGGTTTGCATGTACCAAAGATTTTTTTTACAACACTAAATGAACTGAAACTACGATCTGTGTTTCTCGTTACAGCTATCGATTTTTTCTTTGTTCTCATGAAATACTTTAATAATACATAGATTCTTGATTTTTCATATTTTCTCCTTTTAATAGCCTATTTATAGATAACTCGCGTCTTCCTTTTATTTTACCTATCATCTTGGTCGTCTTGAAATTTTGACTACACAAATTAACGCGCTTTTTTTGACAGCTGTCACCGCAACTTGTCAACTTTGCAAGGAATCGATAGGGCTTAAATTACGTTCCGTTATTGTTTTATTTTTTATATTACAAAATGGACAAAAGTTTTAAAGCCAATGACAATGACAATCGCTGTGCGAAAGGATAAGGTTATAAAAAACTGAATAAAAAGTAACTAACGCATGCAAAAAAAGTAATGTTCCAAAATCATGATTAATTTTGGCTTATCTGCCTATTCCTCTGAAACAACTGCTCTTGGCATAGATTTTTAACCGTCTTCAAAAAGGAGATGGTTTATAATTTGTTGTTTTTTTTTTCATCCCAAGTATAAATTTAGTATACTAAAGCAAGGACTGAAAGTGATCCAAACCTTTAATTTCGTCTTGTGATATAATGGATCTCAATATTCCCTTAAAGTCACGAAGATTATTCAAAATAATAGTTTTAATACAATCTTGTCCCCGGTGGAGTAAATGTGCTGCACTTAATAATAAAATAATAAATATAATTGTAAAATGATTTTTGTTGTTTTATTGAGTTCCTTTTTTTCGTGAATGAGATACTCTGATAAGAGGCAGTCGAGATTTCGGATTTTTTGTTTTATAAGACTTTCGATTTCTTTCTAGCTCCAATCTTTTCTCGTTAAAAATTTTACCTATACCTTTATGTGCTACCTATTTCTAGAATAAATAATATTAAAACAATATAACATTACTACATTTTAATAAAAACAAACAATTTTAAACGACATCTTCAGCGGAATTTCTCACCAATGGATTGTCGCCTTTCAACGATTTCCTGTAAGTATCTATTATCGGTAGACACCAGAAAATAACTGGAAATAAAATAAATATTGCTGCTACAATTTTATTCAAGTGATAGTAGTTACTAATAATAATGGCAGAGCAATGAAATCTTTTATACGAAAGAGCTGGCTCGACCAGTGCAATACTACGACCATACAAAAGATATGCATCAAGTGGAAGTAATACTGCGTTTTGCCTGATGAGTGCGTGCCGGACGATTAATTTTACTCCTTTTCTCTATCCCACCCTGTTCTAATAAGGAAGGAAGGTTGATTTTGCAATGGCAGGGACACATGGGAATAAAGGTTGACAACTCAATGCCAATGTCTGGTTCAAGGTCACTTCGCTATTTTAGCGTATTTAAGTGGCCGCTTCGTCATTTTTCACCTTTTGCTATAAAAAGAAAATAGGTTTTCTTGTGGAAATATTTTGATATTTCCGAGTTTTAGCGAAAATTTAACTATAGGACACACATAACGGTTTTGGATTGTAATTGAATTGAAATTTTATATAATCTGTCCAATTTAAGTGTTTACTTACCAAATAAATATAAAACGTCTGCAAATAGGGCCATGAAAGTCCAGACCTGTTCGCGTTTGATGCGGCTCAGGAATTCCACGAGCGTAACCACAAAGCCGAACACGACGAACGACAGCGTATACCAAATGTATAACTGCATCATTATTGAATTCTCCTGTACAAATAAAAAAATAATTGAAGTGGCAACTTTTAATTTGCCAATTCATCAGTGATGAAGTGGTGTAGCTACTGAATATAATAAAAAAAAGTTTCAATTTTGGAAGTTGATCAATAATCGTTTAAAGCGATTTATTGCAAGGGCTCTTGAAAACACACTTATGGTTTTCAATGTGTGTAGCAGATGGCGCCAGTAGTATTGTTATATTTCAACTACGAAGTTCCTATGCCTATTAAATTTAATTTTAATTTGAACCAAACTCTAAGTATTTTAATGGAAGAAGGAGGAAAATTAGCGAAACTTCATCCATAAGTCTCCTAATATAAGGGGTTGCAAATGCATTTGAATTTTGAACTACCAAATGATATTTTTCTAAACATTTGCACAGCAGAAAGAAGTAATAAAACATCTTACAATAATGCAACCGAGCAATAATATTAAGTTGGCAACTTGGAACAGTTTGAGCAGCAGACTTCTGAGGCAGTAGATATTGGCGCGCAGACGCAGCACATTGTTGCTCCTGCACGACTGACACGCATCCTCTGGGATCATCTGACTCGTCACGAAGTCCGCGAAACTTGCCACCTGATGACATAGATTATAAAAATCTCGCTTGCATTATAAAGCCCCTTTTCCACTACGCAGCGTTGCTATAATTATTTATACTTCAACTTTGTCAATAATTTTATAAATAATAACAATTTTGTCGTCTAATAGCAACTAGATTCTTTTGTAAATTACTCGAAATATTCATAAGGATTAAGATATATTCATGTCAATTAATAAGTTACCAAAAATCCAACAATGCTTTACCTATTTAACATCTATTTCTAACGTTTATAAAATAATTATCCCCCTTTTCATTTTGCAACCTTGAACTATGCCTAATCTAACTGGTGGGTCCAACTTATTTATTTTTCCCGAAGTCTTTGGATATAACATCTTAGTAATAACAAATCTTAATAATAAAATACAAACCAAACTTATAATAGATATAATAGCGACAGTCGCCCGCGGCGATAGAGTCCTATTCAAATGGCCATGTAGATAATTTTTAAGAGTTTCCATTAGGCCGTTTAAATTCATTAACTACAACAATTTATCATTTATTTGTAGGTGACATGCTTGTCTTTTTGTCAGAATACTTTCTACTGGTAAATTATCTCAAAGAGTATGAGTTTTATTCATTGCCAATTTTTTTAAATTGCCCACAAATATTTCCGATTTAATTTTGTACATCCATTTAGTTCTCAAATAATTTGAGAAAAGATTCAATTTTAATGTTTAAAAGCAACTACAGATTATATAATTTAATAAAAAAATGGTTAATTTCCTATCTTCATTGTATACTGGCTGAAACCATATTAATTCTTTCATAATTTTTTTTATCTGTCAGAAGTTGACGCAGAATAATTAAGATAAATTAAATACAAGATGAATAACTATTTAATTATCAGTTTTTTTGTGTTTTCTTTATTTTTAAAAGGCTATTCTGCAACTGACATTGCTGAAGGTAAACTGTGTTTTGTATTTTTTTTATACAATCGCTTCAGTAAAGTTGAAAATCAAGGTTCGTTGCAGGATTTCCCTCAACAAGCGGCACCTAGACCAAATCTACTTAATTTAAGTTGTGAAACCAATATTTAGCAAACAAGAAGACAATAGCTTATTACCACTAACAATACCTACATTGAAACGTTCGAAAATTTGTAGAAAAAATACGACTTAGGTACCTTCAAGAAGCGGGCATACCATTTCCTTAAAGGCCGGCAACGCATCTGCGGTTCCTCTGGTGTTGCAGATGTCCATGGGTGTCGTTGATCACCTCGGTGTTCCCGGCGCTCGTTTGACCCCTTCTTTTATAAAAAAAATGTTTGGAATATCCGCTCTATAATTGATTTATTTAAATATCTTCACATGATTAAAATATTAACTTAATTTCCAGGCGACGATAATGAAACGCCAAATGAAAAGACAACTGAAGAATTCCCACAAGATAACATTGAGAAGTACATTGAAATGTTTGAGGAAACAGCACGTCAGTTAAACAAGGCTTCAGATGAAGATGTCACTGCTTTGGAAAACACTATTGATATTTACGATGAAATGTCAGATATAGTACAGGCTTTTATTGATTTAAACATTAATTCTAATAATGTGTACAAATTTCTACGCGCGAAAGGTTTAGATCGAGTAGTCGCTCCGTATTTAAAAGTAATACACACACCATTACGTCGACAATTTTTAATATTAACAAAACAATTGCTAGATATTGCACCAACGACAGCAAAGGCAATAATCCCAGTTAGCATTTTAGATAATCTTTTAGATATATTTGAAAATGACCACAATTTATCATTAAAAGCTTACGCGTTAGATATTTTACATTCATGGTTGCCTGGTAACCCTAAAATGCAAGCACGTGTTATGAAACTTAAAGGTCTTGATCCATTTTATCATCAAATAAGTAATTTAGATATAACAGTTATTCATACATTATTGGATTTATTTAATAAAATTCTCGATGAACATATTAAAGCTAGAGAGACACCGAGGACTAGAGAAAACGCGGAAGATTTAGTGATGTACCAAAGAATTGGTCTGATTGAAAGAATGTCGACATCGCACGTGTGTGATGGATTGCTTAATATATTTGAAAGTTCATTACCTTTTATACCTAGAACTGGACAGATTATATCTTCGATGTTTGAACTTGTTAAAAAGATAAAACCGTTTTGTTTAAACACATATAAAGGAAAGTCTAGACCGATTGAAGTTTTTAATGAATTATACCAATTTGTTAACGATAAATCGAATGATAGAGCATTTGAAAAGTATGGAATGAATAAAACTGATATTTACGCAGTTTTAGAAAAATACGTACAAGAATTGAAATATGCTGTTGTTAAAGACGAGTTGTAGAAACAAAATTTCATATTAAATTTGCTTAATAAATATTGTTTTTATTTGCTTAAAATGTAATTGAAAATATATATAAAAGAAAGTCGTGTTAGTTACACTATTTATAACTCAAGAACGGCTCTACCGATATGCCTGAAAATTGGTGAGAAGGTAGCTTAGAGCCAGGAGACGGACATAGGATACTATTTATTCTTTTTCGAATTTATGCCTTCAAGAGCTGCTTTTTATTTAACTTATCTATATATTAAGTTTTTTTATATAACCACGCGGACGGAGTCGCGGGTGACAGCTAGTAAGAAATAATTACAGGATAAAAGTTTTTATAACTATCGGAGTGAAATTCCTCAGCTTTAAAAGTAATATTAAAACATTGTGTTTTGTTTTTTCTTTCAAAGTGGCATGATTTTGTACACGTTTTTCAATAGAAACGCTTACTCTTATATCTCGTTATGTTTCTCAAATTCAATTGTCTAATATTACATTGAACACATATTAAATGTCAGATTATGAATTTTATTTGTTACATTTCGTTCTTGAAAACGAGACAAAACTAGTTATATGTTCAAATTAAATTAGAACATATAAATTAATTAATTTACATATTACTAATATTATAAATGCGAATGTTTAGATGGATGTTTGTTTGAAAGTATCTCCTAAATGGCTAAATGGATATCGATGAAATTTGGCATACATATAGAACACATAGGCTACTAATTACGTTTTTAATTACGTCCGAACGGAGTCGGAGCAGCTAGTTTTTGAATATTACTTTGTGTGGTCTCTACCAAGGATATGTATTGTGCAATACGCGGTTATGTTGAGGGACTTTTACACAATACGTTTTTGTACGCGTATGTATTTCATGTGATTGTTTATTTGATTTATTGTGCTGACACATTGGGGTTGCGATTGCTAAATTTATATTGTTGCGAAGTTTTATGACAGTGAAGTGTTGAGAAGCAATTAAGGGTTTTATAGGAGTAACTTCGGCTTAGTGTAATGGGAGATAAAGTTATATGAAAGTCTAACTGCTAAGCTCAGATTTAATTTACTTCAAACTATCGTTTATTAAAGTTTTTACTATGCATTTACTTATACTAATACCACTAAGGGTCTCCCTCAGTGTAGCAGTAAATAATGAAAATAATATCAAACACCAACCTATCATTTTATCCAAATCTATCCAGAGATGTAGGAACGCATATTTTTTTACTTTAGCAACAAACACTTCAATCGAACCTCAAAATACTTTTTTCTTATCAACCTAAATTAATGCTTAAACTTTAGAAATATGTCAGATTGAAATCCATTACTTTTATTGAACAATCCGTACCCGAGACCATTATGTTTTTGATGCAGTTAGTTTTAATAAATAATATTTAGGACGGAAGAAGTAATAAATTAACAATTACATTTTTTTATACTATTGAAAAAGCAATGTCCTAAACCACAATTCTCACATCCGCGTATTTATTTTGTATGTCATCGCAACGCGGGATCATTAGCGTATAGTTTGGTGACAAATCGCGCGCAGTGGGTGGCCGCCATTTTGGAAGCGTCGCGGGCTTTTTCTACAAGACTTTCCTTAGGGTTGTGCTTGAAATAACATATAGATTATAAAGTACGTTATATTATATATATTTCGTTAAAGACTATAATTTGAAAAGATGATATCAATACCTAATAAGCAATAAAAAAATTACAGTTGTTTGGTTAGATTCTATTTTGTTAATTGTTGTCCTTCCATACTGCGTGGGAGTTTGCACAAGGTGCATACTTCATGTCAAATGGCAAAAAGGTCGACTAAACAAACACAAAAATCGGACCAAATCGATCATGCAACGTACTAACGACAATAAAAAAGTTCAATTGTCAATGTCAAACGTCAAAAAGCGCGCGTAGTTTGGACCTGCACGAAACGAATTGCACAAAAGTCACTTGAAGTAGGTGCGTTTCGTGAGAATGCATTTGTAGATTTTTTTTCTAGCGATTTGAAATCATGAATGAGCATTATAACGCAATGACTATGGTAAATAACTCTATTTGTATTGTTAACGTAACTCTGTTACTTAGAAGTAGGGTGGATAGCTTTTGTTAAAATGAAAATTGATTATAAATTTTATTCACATTAAGATATTTTAAATTTATTATAATTCCAGAATTATTGTAATTTTAAAAACAACATCAAAACATAAATATTAATAACAGTTTATGTTACACATACTTTCACTTAAATCGTAAAAACAAGTTCAATACGCAACCATAAACAATTTAAGACACTATGAAAATACCGAACCTATTTTTTAATTTGTTATCCTCATCTTATAGTTTTAAAAATACTGAGATTCTAGCAAAATATGGTCACTATAAATTGATAAACGCAAGTAGCCTAAGGCCGCCAGGTAGCTGGTATAAAAAATACTAAATGTAGGAGTGATTCACCTGACTAAAGTTCCCATGACGGACAATGACAACTACTGCGACTTATTTCTAACTAATTTATGACCTTGAAAACCATATGTCAACAATTAGCTAATTATAAATTCGACTAGTTAGGACTTTTTAAATATAGTAAGTCTAGATTTAATCAATATCCGATGTTATACTGAATATTACGCTTTAACCCATTACTGCATAACGTTCGATAAATCGGACGCCAATAAAATTGTTATTTTAGGAGTTATATATATTTTACTAACCATTTATTTTTTTAAACAGTAGTGTAATATATATATGAAGTGGTAATACTGTTGGTATGACATTCCGGGAAGCGATTTATCGGACGGGCTATAAAATCTAAACTTTCATATTGATAAAATATTTTATACAATTTAATTGTCAAATACACTCGAAATGAAAATATATTACAGTGATCATTATGAAAAAGGCGTTAATAAACTTTATGCACTAATCGGTTAAAATAAAAATAAATTCGTGAAATCAATAACTTGTAAATTACATTTCATTTTCGTTTAGGTTTTTTAGCATAGGGAATGTTAGCTTTTTATTCATCGAATAGATTTTATGAAGAATGTTTGTAGTTAGTTTTTTTTTTACTTTATTGGACTCTGGCCCTTTTCGCGATTTACAAAACGTTTGGAACCAAACAATGAATGTTTACATTGGTCGAGTCATTAATATCTTGCATGAATTCATTTCTTGCGCGCCACCTGCGTTAAACGTCAAAAGTTTTTTTTTTAATCTATCCCATTAATTCGGATACGCGCTATAAATTTATCCATTCAAAAAATTTGTTCGGCTTGTAGGCGGGTTATGGAATAAATAAAATTATGTCTGATTCCCAGCATTTTTAAAGAAAATCCCCGTGTTGATTTTTTGGATAACTTTCGGGTCACACCTCTAATCTGACCATTTTTTTCGCGGGAATATTTTTTTTACAATGACAGTTTTTTAAATTCTATACACGACACAAGGTTTTAGGCTGAAAACATATTGATGTAAAGACTAAACTTAAATATTGAATATCTTACTAGTATAAATGCGAAAGTTTACATGGATGGATGGATGGATGTTTGTTAGAACGAATTATCGGAACGGCTCAACGGATCTTGATGAAATTTGGTATACATATAGACCATAGTCTGGAAGAACACATAGGCTATTTATTAAGTTTTTTTTTAATTCGCGGTTGACAGTTAGTAAGAAGTAAATTAGAAATGGAGGCACTTAGACAATGAGTATATTTTTAGGTTATTACTATTATTACAGCTAAGGACACGTGAGATTTATTTATAACTATTTTATTATAGCCTAGCCCTGTCATATGACATTAAATTAATGGAGGTTAGGAAATATAATAATTGTAAACGATTCCAAAAATTCCTTTTCATCTCACAAGTGCGATCGCTTTATTCATTTCACAATGGCGAAGTCAAAACATTTTTACTACAAATTGTTCAAATGATACAAGAACGGAAGTCCGTACTCGAAAGTATTTATGTTTGAACATTGCATTTTTTTTATTGAAAATATAATGGATGATGTATCGATATGTTTGTATTTTTTGTATTCGTTTTAATTTAAAACTCTTTGCGTAACTAATTCTGATACGTATAGAAGTTTTGAATTGAAAATAAAGTATTATTTTAAAACCCACTTATAAAGTTTGTTACTGCCCGTTACACAAAAATAACTTAATTAGTAACCTATGTGTTCTACCAGGTATCTTCTGTATGTCAAATTTCAGCGAGATCCATTCAGCCGTTCCAGAGATACCTCCAAACATCCATCCGTCCGCATTTATAATATTAGTAAGATTTAATTTTTTAATATTTTATGCTACTTCATAATAATATGTGTTAAATAAAATTTAATACTGATTAACTTTGCAACGGAATTTAAAAAAAATAATACGCCTTTTTATTACAGTAATCTGTCTACCGCATTTCATCGAGATCCGTTCAGCTATTTTAGAGTTCATCATCATCATCAGCTCACTATACGTCCCCACCGAGGGGCTCAGAGCCTACCCTAAGTTAAGGGTGATTAGGCCATAGTCAACCACGCTGACCAAGTGCGGGTTGGTTGACTTCACACATATCTTTGAATTTCTTCTCAGATATGTGCAGGTTGCATCACGATGTTTTCCTTCACAGTAAGAACCTCGGATAAATGTACATATGTAAATCGGAAACCGAAAAACACATTGGTACATGGCGGGATTCGAACCCAGGACCTGCAGATTGCAAGTCAAGTGCTTGACCACTGAGCCACCGACGCTCTAGAGTTATCTACTAAGAAAGATTGTTAAGATTCAAAATTATATTCATTTGGTACCACCATTTAAGAATCCGACTATTTTACGAGTCTGACATATTTTTAACTAATGCAATAAATAAAACGTGTTTACAATAAACATGGGGCAAATTAGACATATTCCCACGTCTTTATTTGCATCGAATAAGTTAAGAAATATCGGATGTCCGTTAACATTTCTCCGTATGGGGTACTCATTTGTTAGAGGGCGCTGTTGTAATTTGGCTGAATAAAGTGTTGTCATTGCTCACAGCTTGACGTCTTGAAAACTTTATCTATGCCATTGGGTCATTATTAAATATTGCATTCAATTTAGAAGGAATCGTAGTAATATTTAAATCGCAACTTTTTTTAAATATGTTAAAGTCTGGCTCTCACCCGAGATCGCGACTCTATCCGCGTTTAGGGTCTACAAAAAAGTCGTTATAACTAAACTATGTTAATAATATTATAAATGTTTGGATATATGGATGTTTGTTAGAAGGTATCTTTAAAATGGTTAAAGGAGTCTTGCTATAAAGTCAGATAGAATATAGGCTACTAATTATTTTTTTTTTAAAACCTCGCGGCCTGAGTCGCAAACGACACCTTGTATTACGTAACTTCAACAGTAGTAGCCACCAGCAACAACAATATTTGTTGCCAATTGTCCGGCCCGCCTGTTGCCATACCACGACCACACAGACGACAGACGTTTTGTGGAAGCAATTCCAACTACAGTCGGATGAGTACGAGTGTCGGATGCGTAATTTTTATCCTCTTTTCTTATAAAGAAATGTGCCTTAAATGTGTATATGACTTATTGGCTAACCTGTAGCTCCATTAATTAGCATCTTTGAACATAAAAACGATAAATAAATCCAGGCTTTATTTATCACATCTATCTATATAACTAGGGTATAAATGTTTAACATCAATATAATCTTACTAATACTATAAATGCGAAAGTTTAGATGGATGTTTGTTTGAATGTATCTCCGTAACGGCTCAATGGATCTGTATGAAATTTGGCATAGATATAGAACGTAGTCTGGAATAACTCATAGGCTACTTAATAAGTTTGTTTTTAATCTTGCGCGGACGGAGTCGCGGGCGACAGCTAGAACGGCATACTTTTATGAGTACACTAGCGGACCCGACAGACGTTGTCCTGTCTACACGTCTTTAATTTGAATAAATTAATATGAAGTTAATATTTGATGAAAATTGTGAATCTAAACCATTCCCAGATCCCCTTGACCACACACAAAAAATTTCATCAAAATCGGTCCAGTCGTTTGAGAGAACTTCAGTGACATACACATTCACAGAAGAATTATATATATAAAGATAATGACTTCAAACGCGTGTCTTTTATTTGAAAATGTTTATTTTCTATCATAGACTACTTTAGTTCTAGGTTAGTGAAATGTTTTTATTATTATGCGGTCATTTGCGGAACTCAATGATACATTTGATTATTTTGTTAGAAAGAGCAAGTTGCAAGGAACTAGGCAATATTTCTGTAAACGGAACACCGCGAAACTCCCCGACTGTACAACACTGTTATTTATAACTTAAGTATTATATATAAACTCTTTTGTTTGTTGTTAATCCTGGCACTTAATAAATAAGATTATACAGGATAATAGTAGAAGAAAAATAATTTAATTTTTGTTCCAAATATATTTTTATTTACATAATAGTATAAAAATTCTTTGCACACAATCCGTACATTAAAATATCATATTGCCAAAGATATATTTTATCTAAAATAGTTAACGTATATTGAAATTGTATACACGCAATTATTTTTCACAATACAATTGAATTCAAAACAATTTTTACTATGAACTATTTATAATTTACACATGGTCACTTTTCACAATTTTTTTAATGCCTAATCCCACTTAGATGCTTTACATGAAGTCTATTTTTCTATGTTACTAATATAAATGCGAATGTTTGGATGGATGGATATTTGCTAGAAGGTATCACCAAAACGGAACAACGGATCTCTTTGAATTTAGCATAGATGTAGAGCATTGTTTGGTAGAACACATAGAATACCTATGGTCTCTGAAATGATTACGGTTCTCGTTGGATACATTTGATTTACTTATCCACTCGAAATTGCGCAACGGTTCGACACATCTTATTGAAATATGACACAGATATAGAACATAGTCTCAAGTAACATGACTTAAGTAACTTTTCACTCTTTTCTAAAATTCTGCACAGACAAAGATTCGGGTAAAAGCCAGTAACTAGTAAGATAGCGTTTGACCACGATTAACTTTGATAAGTGATGATTTCAAAGACTTCAATCGTATATAAATAATTAAATATAAGTCTTGAAATCAATAGCCATAAATATATGGATATCCAGTCATATGGGGGATAGCGGATAGTGGGACAAAAACTGGCAACATTCTTTCAGCTTGCAAATAATGCGTTCGTGTATGTTTCTTCAAATGATCGCGTCTACCAAATTTCTTTCCACAAGTTGGACAAGGATATGGACGTACTCCAGAATGTATCCTTTTATGTCTTGTTAATTCTTCATTCCTTGTAAAAGACTTACCACAATTCTTCTCATCACATTTGTATGGTCTTTCTCCTGTATGGATTCGTATATGACCTTTTAACTGACCATTATTTGAGAATCCAACTTGGCAATGTGGACATTTATATTTCTTAGGTCGTTGCTTTCTTGCGTTAAGGAGTTTAGCTTCGTTTTCTTGTTGTATTATTCTAGCGTATTCTAATTCCATTGCGTATCCTTGTGCTAATGATTCTAGGAGTAAAGGATCGGTTGGTGGAACTCCTAAAGCGTGAGCGATATCCGTAGTTATGTATTCTGGCATTTGATTATATGTTTGTGGTATAGGTACATTTGGGAGACTTACTGGAGCTGTGGACTCTTGTGTTTCTTTCTTATATCTATTATGTGTTTTATCTTTAGGTTCTTGAAGTAATCTATCACAATACATGCTTAGTTTAGTAACAGAACTGACGGTTTCTGTTGGAGTGTACTCTGATTTAACCTTTGGTTCATCTTCAACAGTTGTAGATACTGTTGCGTCTTGTTGTAAATTGCTATAATTTTTTTTGAAGGTGCCTCTTATTTTTCTTAAACGATTTTCTCTTTTCTCATCCATTTTTTGTTTCTTTGTTTTAACTTCATTTGTTTTATCACTAGTCACGTCTATTCTCACTTCGTTGCTTTCGCTATCGTTCACATCCCAAGGTCTAAAGAGCCTTGAATAGTTTTTCTCGACGGACAACATATTCGTATACACTAAACTCACAGACTGGGACCCTTCTTCGTTTCGACAACTTTATATACATTTCTTTAACAATAAATTTAATAAAAGCTCCCAAAAGAGGGATAGGACCATCTATTGAATGGACGAAAGAGACGAAATATTTTTCAATTGTTGCACGCTTCTATTATAGCAAAATTTTCAATTATATGACAATCATTTGCCAAGAGAAATTCAGCCTTGAACTCTTTTAATTTAAGTCTTAATTCATTTGTGTTTCTTGTTTCTTATATGTCGTTTTCTTTGAGTTAACTGTCATTGTGGTTGAGATAGGGGTGTGTATTGTTATTTATGTTGATTTTTGTGCATCTTTGGGAGGCGGTGCTGGGGGCCGAGCGTTTCACGCGAGTAGTCGCGGCCCTCACAGCTGCAAACTTGTTTGTTTTAATGGTCCTAGCTTTTGTTGCGGTTCTCAAGCGATATATAACGCTTACATAGCGCATGTGGGATGTATTGTTTGTTTATGGGAGACTTAACAATTTTGATTTTTGAGTGTTTGGGATATTTCTGTTGCGAATATATTGTATGCATTAGCTGCTATTTAATAGTCCTAGAATGTTACAAGATGTTGTTACATTTAATAAGTCTTCCTTTTATTCGTATATTGTAAAATTAATTTGAGTGGTTTTATATTATTTGACAGTTTTTTTTATTTCCACTGCCATATTCGCGGTCAAAAAGACTTCAACGGTAATCTTACACTAATATTTTAAATGCGAATATTTGCATGTATGGATGGATGAATGTATGTTTATTAGAAGATATCTCCGGACCGGCTAAAGGGATTTCGCTATTATAGGCTATATAACTATTTTTTTTTAATTATGCGCGGACGTAATCGCGGACTTTAGCAAACCAATAATAATTTAAAAAGCCCTAAATGAGGAGGTAACATTTTAAGTGTAAGAAAAAATGGAAAATCAAGCTACATTTAACACAAATATTAAAACGACTAAATTAAACAATGATTTTTTTTCTGGTGGATATTTTTTCGTAAAATAAAAATGTCACATCAAAATGTATCACTAGCAAACAAATCGAGTTAAATCCGATATACAATAGGCTTGATTACGTTGTATTTGATATGTTTTTGGTTGGTTTCCGAACGGAATATGGAATCGAGGCGATCTGTCAAATTCCATGTCCCGCGTGATGGATCGTCCGCCATTTTGATTGCACCAATACTGGCCATGCATTTTAATTTTTTTCTTTATGTTTATCAAATAAAATACAATGCGGTTTCGTTTATAAACAATCAAATAGTTAGTTTTTACAATAAAAACACATTGACTTTAAATCATTAGAAATGATTGCACTTTAATGAAAAAAAAGAAAATGAAACTTTTGCCGTGCACTATGACATTTTTATTTCTATTGTTTAGGGCATTATTTAATATTAGCATTTTAATCAGCCAGTAATTTATAAAATCTTTAAAAGCCACTAAGCTTAAGCATCTTCCTTTGAGTTACATCGCTAAGTAGGAAGAATATTGAATAAAAATAATGGAAAGATAATTTTAACGGTCATCTTTTCAATTTCAAATCTTTTTATTCTAAGATCGATTCGTCAATATTCTGTCAGTTATCGAATCTCCTTTCGTTTTATCATTTTATTTGTAGGTTTTCTAAGATCGCGCCTTAACCGTCGCGGGCACAGATGATCGATCCGTTATACTTTTGAATTTCGAATACGAATTTTGATTTGAATTTTTGAAATTCGAATTAAAAATTAAAAAGTTCTATTCACAATGTTTTGAGGAAGAAGAAACTATAGTAGCACTATAGCTATTGCCCGCGACTCCGTCTGCGCTGAATAAAGAAATTAATTATTAGCTTATCTTCCAGATTATGTTCTATATATGTGCTTAGTTTCATCGATATCCATGCAGCCGTTGTGGAGATACCTTCAAACAAACATCCATCCATGTAAACTTTCGCATTTATAATACTAGTAAGATAAATTTTATTATATTAGTATGTTGAATATTACAGCGAAAATAAGCGCTTTACGCTAACTACATTCATTTGCTAGAAGCATACTTATAGTGAATAAAAAAGAGTCTAAAATACGATTAAAATCTACCACTGTGACTAACACATCTTTAAAGTCGAAATATCTTAATATCAAAATCATATAAATCTCAGTTATAATGCGTTAAGAAATTCTTAAACGACTTTTAGTTGAAATTTTCGAGCAGCGTGACAACTTTATACGTTGTATATTGAGTATTTGGTGCAGTTTTTTGGCGAGTCTTTGTGCTCTACGATTACTACGGCTGTCGTGATTGTGCAAGCTTCATCAATGGAGCTATACAGAGTGTTATATATTCCTTCATCTAGTTAAATAATATAATTTAAAGTTTGTTTTATGTTTTATGTTTCTGAATAAGAAATAAAAGAACAACTGATGATTTTTGGAGAAGTTTAATGTTTACTTTTTTCATAAATTATTTTTAAGGTAAGATAAATCTTACTTCTTACTAGTATTATAAATGCGAATATTTAGATGGATGGATGGTTGGATATTTGTTTGAAGGTATCTTCAGAACGGCTGCATGGATCGCGGTGAAATTTGGCATAGATGTAGAACATAGTCTGGAAGAACACATAGGTGTACTAATTACGTTTTTTTTATAATTCTGCGCGGACAGAGTCGCGGGCGACCACTAGTATAATAAAAAAATCTACACATGAAAATAACGACATCTTTTGAATTAGCTGTAATATAATTAAAGAGAAAATAAATTCATGATTAATAAAAATGCTGGATAATCTTTGTTTCTGTTAATCTTTATTTTTTCATGTAAATAAAAAAAGAAAAATATTTATATATATTTTTTTGGCATAATACTCTTATTGCTTTTGCCTAAACATCCTGTAGTACTATAGTTGCGTTGTGTGGTCTTGCATAGTATTAACACAATAACTATAACCTCATAATCGGCCGCAAGAACAAAATGCGCCATAAATTTAAAATGGCTGACAGTTCATTGTCCTCGTATCCATTGATAAAAGTAGACTGGACGACGCCACGGGATTACATTTTACTAGTTTTTAAAATGTTATTTCGTCGATTTAAGAGTTCAGTTTGACCCAATTTCAAGAAAAGATATAATGTTTATATTTATGTGACAATTTGAAACGTAAAAAAAATTATGATAACTTTTTGGTTCTTTATTGCCTTTCAAATTGAAGATATGTTATTAGAATATTTGATATGGCTTTAACTTGTACGTTCACCTTTATATTTATCTAGTGTTAGGTAGAAAATCCGACATTGTGCCGGTGTACTGGCACAACACTAGCCTTACTAAAATGCCGACGTTTATGTCCCCTCACTAATCATTCTGACAGTTGACTTGGTAACGAAAGCGCGCCATTCAAAAAAAAGAACCGGTTTAAAAAAAAGGAAAGATTTTTATTTTAAACCGGCGATTTTACGAAACTTACTGGAAAAGTTTCTTTCTGAAATTGCAAAATAGAAAAAATAACATCAATATATTTAATCTGTGGAACCCTCAATCGAAACCGCAACAGGGCTGTAACGGGCCATCAAGTGGTCGAGACTCACCCCTAATGTTAGGGTCACTGGGGTGGAGTCACCCCCTCCTAGAAAATAAGAGGGGAAATGTCGCAAAGGGGAGATACAAAAATTAGGGTTACGATCTATTTGATTTAATATATCTTTACGTTAAGCCATTAATGTTTTATTTATTGCTAAAGGATATGAAAGATTCTGGGATAGTACAAGATTTGTAAATTTACGCTTCGGTTAATCCATATTGGGGTAGGTAGAGTGTAATTGGCCTACTATTTTATAAGACTACGCTAAAGTTATCTATTCAACGTCGCAATTAAGTAAACGTAGAAACGTCAAATTCCAAAAATGGCGGCCAGTATTATATTTAATTTGTTACGATATTTTGTGATTTTTTTTTAAATGTCGTAATGTGCAAGAGCGTCGGTGGCTCAGTGGTCAAGCACTTGACTTGCAATCTGCAGGTTCTGGGTTCGAATCCCGCCATGTACCAATGTGTTTTTCGATTTCCGATTTACATATGTACATTTATCCGACGTTCTTACGGTGAAGGAAAACATCGTGATGCAACCTGCACATATCTGAGAAGAAATTCAAAGATATGTGTGAAGTCAACCAACCCGCACTTGGCCAGCGTGGTTGACTATGGCCTAATCACCCTTAACTTAGGGTAGGCTCCGAGCCCCTCGGTGGGGACATGCAGTGAGCTGATGATGATGATGATGATGAATGTGATATCGAAAAATAGGAGTATCCTATTTATCATATTGTTATGCAAGGAAAAGTGTTTTACAAGTACATGGAATTCACGAATTTAAGTGACAAATGTTCAATTTTGTAACATTTATGTGTTTAAACTGGAAAGAAATTTCATCATCATAAGCTCACTATACTTCCCCACTGAGGTGCCCGCAGCCTACCCTAAGTTAAAGATGACTAGGCCATAGTCAACCACGATAGCCCAGTGCGGGTTGACTTGACACATATATTTTAATTTCTTCCCACATATGTCACGCAACACGATGTTTTCATTCACCGTGAGACCGTCGAATGAATGTTCATACGTAAATAGAACATTTTAATACACATGGTACTTGTATTGAAACCCAGGATCTGAAGATTACAAGTCAACTATTTAACCACTGAGCTACCGACGTTATCCAAAAATTAGAAGGAACGAAATATGAAATGTTAAATGCTTGAAAACTTATCTTATATCTTAAAATGAGCAATTCATGTATATGTACATATATATATAATGGGAATCTCGGAATCGGCTTCAACGATTTTCATAAAAATTAGTATATAGAGGGGTGATAAATCGATCTAGCTAGGAATCATTTTTAGAAAATGTAATTTTATTCGTGTTTTATCGATAATCAACTTAAATATAAACTTAACTTTTTCTATAGGTAAGATCGAAAAATATTATTCATATTTC